GAATTATTGATGCCTTTGATCTGTTGGTGTTGGACAAGAGCACTGAACATGGACAGCCAAAAGAACAAACAAATATGTCTTGGAGAGGATGCAGCAAGAGTGCTCTTTGGAGGCAAGGAGGATGAGGTGTCACCTCACATATTTCAGGCATATTGTTGACAGTGTGGGTTAAAGGGCACAGGCTGTGTGCCCTAGCTTAATGAGGTGGGAAAAGCCCTGCAGTGCAAGAACATGCCAAAGGGTGAATTTTGCAGCCTTTTGGAAGGGCACCCCCACCGCAACCCCCTTAAACGTTGATGTGGAAGGCATCCTGCAGCCACTGGTCACGGGCATTGTATGTATGGGCGACAGTGGAGGAGTGGCGAGGCCCAAGGCAGGCTGGCATCAGGAGGTTCTTCATCCTCCAAGAGGCCACCTTTGGGTGGGTGGGTAGGAGCTGTCCGAGTGCAGAGAGGATGACAGGGCCTGGCACAGGTATTTGTAGTCCTGGATCGACTCAAAGCTGGCATAACAGAGACATGTCCAGCAACCGCAGCTCCACCATCTCCTTTTGCAGCGTGGCTAACGTGGAGTCAAGGTCGACCCAATAGCATGGGTCGAGGAACCAGGGGTGTCCGCGTCCAGAGTGCAGAGCTCAGCTCATCATGGGTGCAGCTGTGCTGGCTGCAGACGCGCTCCAGCTTCCGCCACAAGCCTCCGCCCACACTGACAAGGCCGCTGAGGCCCCGTGGGAGTTAGGCCAAAGAGCAGCCTGCACCGCCTGTTGCGCCGCGGCTGCGGGCACCCTGTTCATGGCCTGGCTGACGTGGGCAGCGACGCCTCTCCTTCCCTCCAACGATCTGTCCTGACCAACCCAAACAAAGGCACACTGTTCAAATCCACCAGCTGCTCTGTGGAAAAAAAGATGAGCAATCTCCTCTTACGCGATTAAGCTGCCTCTGAGAACCCACTGGACAGTTAGCTGTGGGTCGGTTCTGATGAAATGGTACACAACAACAACAATCATGGAGGGCAATTGTGGACTTAGCCAGGGGCCTGACACAGTATGTTCTCAGGAAATAGTAACTAATGTTAGCATCTCCAACAGGTTTTTAGAGGCTATTATTTGCACAGGAATAGATTGCACATCTTTTTCCCACTAGTGTATTCAAGCCACCTGCCTTTGGGTGGCAACACAACTCCCTGCCCACTAGGCCACCAGAACTGTGTAACATTTATTTATGTAGTACTTGACACTTTACTCAGCATTCTATCATGTTTAATCATGGTAAGAACCACAAGGGTTATAATCTGTTTTAATGATTGAAATATTTCAACTAATGAGACTTTCTGTGGACTATCCAAGAATGGCAAATACCAAGCAGTGGTCAGAACTTGAACCTGAGCCCATGCGTGTCCTGCTGACCATGTCCATGGGCTGCCCTTGTGCCTTGAAATAGGAACACAGTAATTCTCAGCTTTGTCTGCACATTAGAATTCTCTGGGAGCTTTCTACTGTCCCATGCCAAAGCTATTCCCTCTACCAGTTAAAGTATCTTGGGTGATTCCAGTGTGCACCCAATGCTAAGATCCGCTTGTGTGGAATTCCCAGCCTTTTGTGAATGCAAAGCCACAAAGGGTTGAGCCTGATGCCTGTTGTCTGTTGAGGTGGACAATGAGCAAGCATGGACGTGCCATTGCATTTTCAGGTAAGAAGCCAAAAGACAGACAATACTCTGTCCTTCTTCATGTCTCTCCACTGTAGAATCAGAAGAGAAAATGAAATCACAATGCAGCCTGAGTCATATAGGCCCCTGGGCTTCCCTAGAGAACCTGTGTTTCAAGTATTCAAAGGAATTTCAAAGGCAGGCATGTAGGTGAGGGAGTGCCAGCCATCTGTGACCTACAGCGTGTGACCACAGTAGGGGTTCCCTCTGTGCTGTGTGTTGGTGAGACAGGTACAGCCCTGGGAGGGCGTCTGCCTCAGAGAATGGCTCAGGGACAAGAGATGAGTGATGCCCTTGTGGGTGTCCAATGAGATTGCCCTGACTTGCTGCCTCTTTACTATTTAGACATCGGTAGGAATTGAAGGGATCTTGGTGACATAGGTTTACCTGATGATATCCTGGGCTTTGAATCTTGGGAGTGACTTTGCTGGACTTATCATCCCATGCCAGCACTTGGGGGATGACAGCAGCCTCTCCCACTCACTCTGCCTGCAACAGCCATACTAGAGCTGTCACACTGATAGTCTGCTGGGGCCCCCTGGTTTTACCCTGTGTTTGTGCCCTCTTCCCCACTTGGGCCACTCCTTGTTAGGAGCCTCTGGGTAAGCTGGAGGCTTGCTTTGCATTTTTGAAATGTCATTGTTGCCATTCTAGGAGTCACAGCTGATTCAAATGCAGCTGTCCTCCTGCCCGCCTGCCCATCTGAGGATGCACCTTGTTCCTCCAGCTATGGACCATTACTATGCTGGCAAAGGGGTACTGCCAAGGAGCCTGGAGGTCTTCGTCATTGGCTAGCTCTGTGGGTCTTGGAGCGAGGATAATGGAAGTTTAAGAGGCCGCACCACATGGTCCAGACCTCTCAGATATACTTTTTAAACAACAAAAGTAAAACAATAAGAACTGGCTAGAGGACCTTTTGAACAGCTTTGTAGCCACCAACCCTGCTCTTAAGCTTGGGGAGGTGGATTGAGTTCATTGTGAGCATCCTGCCCATTTGACTCTGGCCAAGTGAAATGGCTCTTTGATGCTGTCACACCAGGAAGGAGTGGAAGGATTTAACATGACAGGAAAGGAATGCTGAATTGGCTCCTAAGAACTCCTTGAGCGGGTATCACTCAGCAGTTGTGTTAGGCCCAGGGAGAGAGTTGAAAGTAGATCATAGCTTAGATAACTCTTGCAGTGATCCAATGGTAGAGGAGTAATTTCCTATTGAGGCATCCTAATGGTTCCCATCTGGAAGTTACCTTTTTTAGGCAAATACTACTTTTTTAATTACCTCCACTTTTGTGACTTAAGAGTTGATGATGATTTGCCATATTCCTGTCTGTGTCTTAGTCTCCCGGTGTCAGTATAACAGAAATACTATGAGTGAGAACCTTTGAAGGACAGAAGTCTGTTTTCTTGCCAAATGGGAGACTGGAAGTCTAAATGCAGGACATAGACTCTAGAGAAGGCTCTGTGTGGCCTGATGCAAGGAAACATCCATGCCTCTTCCAGCATGTCCCAACCCCTTGGCGATCTTCAGGTGGTGCAGCATCTGTCCACCTGTTTGTGTTTGCTTGCCTCTGCACCTACTATGCTCTTTTTCTATCTCAGAAGCAGTTTGGTCTAGGACATGCCCTACACTGGTATAGCCTTATTGTCTTCCTCACAGAATTGTACCCAAGGATATGTCTCACTCATGAATCAGAACTCAAAGCTGACCCATCACTGGGTTCCAAATCAGTGATTGAGCATCTTTCTCCCATGGAGTCAGTGGTGGATTTGAACCATGGAGATGCTCCACCTTTGTGCTAGCAACACAGCTTCCTATAGACTAGGCCACTAGAGCTCCCTGTCCACAGGTGTAATGATAGAGTTCAAGCTTGCACCCTGGGGAACACAGTTAAGTTCAACAGTGGCCAACCACAGGCATTCTGCCTGCACTGCCTCAGATATGAGGCAGCTCTAGAGAACATTTGTGGGATGCTGAGAAAAGTACAGATGTGACATTGTGCACACTTGGCTTTCCTGGGTCCCTGAGCAGCTGGGGTTTGCCTGCAGGAGGGCCTGTGCCCTGCAGGCCAGAAGCATTTCCTGGGGTAGCACTGAAGTCCTTTAGGGAACACAATTTTCCTATGTAAGCCCTAATATTTGTTTCACAGGATTTGGTCCACAAATTTTGTGCTTTCAGAATATGTCTACTTATGGGCCATCTACTTGGTTCCTCACAGCCGCTTATATCTCTGTATCCTGGCTAGTTTTCTCAGCTAGGAACCAGTGAACTCTGTCCAGTTACAGTTCTGAGAGTCTAAGCTCTTGTCCAGCAGGCAGTGGACCCAGATTCCTCAGAGCTGATAAACCTCAGAGTTCCCCAGGCCCTCTGAACTTCAACCTTAGCACTGTCTTCAGCACATTCCCATCCAGCCCACTGTCCCCAGTGACTGATAAGCACTCATTCCGGCTCTTCTATCCATGTGCCACCTTTGCTCTCTCCATATCAGGATCTTCCCTGCCCTACAGTCCCTTCAGAATAGGACCACAGCTGTGATGCCACTCCAGCATGATTAGCACTTCATATCACATGAAAAATATTAGTGAAAGTTCAAAAGAGTAAAAGTCAAGTACAGCATACAACATCTCAAGTAAGTGTTCATTTCCCTTGCTAGATGTTAAAATATAATACAGAGAAAACATTGTAGAAGCCATTTGTATTTCATTAAAATGGGATGGATGTACAATTAAAACAGACATTCAAGGGGGAGGGAAAAAAGAAGAACGAACTGGGGAGGAGGATAGAGAAAACAGTACAACAATGAATGAATGAAAACCCAAAATCTCTGTAAATGTTCATTAAAACTAATAAAATTTAAAAAATACATTCACACAATGAAATAAAACAAACAAACAAAACCATTACACAAAAAGGGTAAGCCATTATGGAGTACATTATGCTGAGCGAAATATCTCCATCACAAAAAGACAAATATTGTATAACACCACTGTTATAAAATAGGGCTGACATGGAGGGTTGGGGAGAGATGAGGATAAGAATGGATAGATAATAAACATGGCATTAGAAGAGATAAGGAGAAGAACGGCTGAAAATAATATATTATTACATATATGACAACAACCTGGAACAAGAAGTGCATTACATTGCAAACTGGATTGGAAGAGGGAGTAGGAAGAGTGGAGAAAATATAATAATTTTAAAAAAGAATAGTAAAGCTAATTAAATTCTGAGTATCAAATTTTACTTTTTGCATTGACTCATACTATCTTTTCCAAATTTACTTTTATTTAAATTTTGAGACTGTAAAAGGGTGAAAGAGGAGGAAGATTCAGATTGCTTCATTAGATCCTAAACATGAAATAATTTTTTTTCATTGCAAAAAAAAAATAGGATGGATGTGTGGGTGGGTGGGTGGATAGATGGATGGATGAGTGAGTGGGTGAGTGGGTGAGTGGGTGGATGGATATATGGATGGATGGATGGATGGATGGATGGATGGATGGATGGATGGATGGATGGACGGATGGATGAATTGATGTTATTAAAGGAAAATTAGTTATACCAGTTATAGAAGGAAAATTGCTCTATTTCAAGTTGTTAAATACAAGTGTCATCCACTTCCTACACAACATGCCTCCAGAAACTGATAAATGTTGATAGTTACAGAAAGGCTTCAGGCCTTTTGTTCATAGGGTCTCTATGAGTTATGCTTGACTTGAAGACAATCAACAACAGCAACAACATATGTAGTAAAATATAAATGTGAAGAAAAATTCAAAAGCAAATTTTCATAAGTGTAAAATGCTTGTAAGAAAGGAACTGATATAAACTTAGTCCAAAGTATATGACTGATGCAATTCTATGTCAATCTGTAATTGAATGTAGTTAGTGTTACAGAGAATCTGTTAGACTTCAGGCACTGGGCAATGACCAACAGGCCCAGGGCCCTACTGTCAGGCTGCTCACAGATTCCACTGAGTAAGACACTAAGAGAAATAAACAGTTTGTTTATATGTATAGAAATACCATGGCACAGAAACATACACAATTTTATTAGCAATTCAAATTCAAGCAATTCTAAAGCACATCCACATACCTGTAAAACCAGCACAGTAATAGGGCCCACAGCTGCACCGTTCACAGACGGCCTTGCACTGCTTTGCTGCTGGCACAGGGAACAGGTTCCACATATGTGGAAAGGAACTGGCGCCATGTGGAAAAACAATCCAAGTGTTTTCTCCTGGTGAACTGTTGTGAATTTAGCATTTCTTTTCTTTCTTTCTTTTTTCTTTTTTTTCTGTTGTTGTTTTAGGCATTTCCTTTTTGAAAGATGTCTCTAAGACATAATTCAAAGAGAGGGGAGAGTAACTGTCACAAAAGTATCCAGAGCACACTATTTATAAGAAAATTTATAAGGGAAAGAAGCCCAAATGTTCCAGCCACAGGGAAGTTAAACCAGCCGTACTGAACTAGCAGGCAGATCCCACAGCCAAGGGAAGTGGTTCACCATCCAGGCAGGACTCCACACACCACTTCCCCTCCACTCTAGGACTGACTTCCACCTCACCGAGTTCTCGGGAGAGACTTCCTTAAGTCACAGGTCATATCAAGCCATTGTTTTGTCTCTGAATTTCCATCTATTTTAACCATAGCACTTAACACAGTTTGGGGCTATCTGTGTAGGTGATGTTTTGTTTGATGTGCGGAGGTTTTGGCTGCTTTTGCTTGCCCTGTGTTTGGGCTTCAGTATAGGAGATAGATGATAGATAGATAGATAGATAGATAGATAGATAGATAGATAGATAGATAGATAGATAGATAGATAAGATGGATGGATGAATGCATGATGGGTGGATAAATGGATGGACAGATAGAGAGTAAATGGATGGGTGAGTGGATGGATGAGTACATGGATGGATGGATGATGGATTGTTAGTGGGTGGGTAAGTAGATGAATGGATGCAAAGGTGGGTGAGCGGGTGAATGGGTGAATAGGTGGGTGGATGGGTGAGTGGGTGGATGGATGAGTGGATAAATTCTAGATGATTGAAGGAAAGAAAGAGAAGTTAGATAGTTTAAATGTTATCTTGTAATTATATTTCCATTTGCATAGTACTTCACAGTTTAACTGTCGTTGCAGTAGTTATGTGCCATCGAGTTGTCTGACTGAGAGTGACACCATGCACAGCACCCTTAAACTCTATCCCATGCCAGTCTTATTTTTCTGTGACACTCCTATCCTCACTCATTACCCCAGTCACTGAATCAATCCATCTCATTGAGGGTCTTCTCTCCTGAGCTGTCTCTCCAACCTCCCAAGCATGACATCCGTCTCCAAGGACTAGTCCCTCCTTGCAACATGTCCAAAGTATGTCAGATAAAGCTTCAGAATCCTTGCCTCCAAAGAGCAGCCTGGCTTCACCCTCTCCAGGACGAAATTGTTGGTTCTCCTAGCAGTCCATTCAATACTCTTCAACACCAAAGCTCAAAGGCATCAACTCTCCTTCTGTCCTCCCTAGTCATTGTCCAGCTCTCTAATGCTTATCAAGTAATTGCAAAGACCATGGCCTGTATCAGGCGCATCTTAGTCTCTATATTGACATCATTGTTCTTCAGTACTTTGGAAAGGTTTCTGACAGCAGACTTTCCCAATGCAATTAGTCTTTTAATTTCGTGGTTGCTGGTCCCAAGAGTGGTGATTGGAAAGCCAAGCAAACTGAAGCTATCAACAATCTCAATGTCTTCACCATCTATCATGATGCTGCGATTGGCCCAGTGGTGAAAATCTTTTTTTTCTTGATGTTGAACTTCAATCCATATTGAAAGCTGCAGTCCTTGACCTTCCACAGCAAATGCTTCGTTCAGGTCCTCCTCACTTTCAGCAAGCAGAGTTGTGTCATCTGCATAACGCAGAATGTTGATCGAATCTTCCTCCAATCCTGATACCATAGAGCCCAGCCTCCTGGATAATCTGTTCTGCATATAGATTGAAAATATATGGAGATATAAGACATCGTTGACGCACGGTTCTCCCAATTTTGAGCCATGCAGTGTTTCCTTGCTCTGTTCTGATGGTTGTCTCCTGGTCCAAGTATAGGTTTCACATAAGCACAATCAAGTGTTCTTGGATTCCTTTCTCAGAGTCAGCCAGTTTGTTGTGATGACATCATACTTCAACAAATATCTTACACATACCTGTGAGGTAGAAACTTTTTTCTTTATTTAAAAGTTAATCGAGTCAAGATTTCTCTCAGTGTTGCATAGATTAGTTAACTGCAGATATCGTTTTCTCCCTGAACAGAAAGGGCAACCTAGGTAGAACTATCAAGTATGGAAATACAAAGGAGGAGGAACAGTTGTAAGCAGACCCTAGTGATTGGAACATGGAATGTGAGAGCCATGAATGTAGGAAAATTAGAAATTGTTAAGAAAGAAATGAAACGCATAAATATTGACATATTAGGCATTGGAGAGATG